CCCCAAAACCCCAAAACCCCAAAACCCCAAGACTCAATATATGAATTTAGATATTGGAAAAATCATTTATGATCACTAAATCAAAATTAATGCAAATATCATTAATTAATAAAGAATCTTAAAATGTTCGGCAAATCTTTAAATTTGGCTAGAAGACATTTCAGCAATGATGTGCTTAAAAGAACTCATCTCTTCAAATATCACAAAGAGACTTTAAAGGGAAAGATGGTTCCGTTTGCTGGCTATGAAATGCCAGTCCTTTATCCAGAAGGTATAATCAAAGAGCATTTGTTCTGCAGAGAGAGCGTAGGGCTCTTCGATGTATCACATATGGGATAGGTTAGAATTGTGGGTAAAGATGCACTTAAATTCCTCGAACACTTTACAGTTGCAGATTTGCAAAGTCTTGGAAAGGGAAAAGCAACTTTATCACTTATTATGAATGAGAAAGGAGGTATCAACGATGATTGTATCATTACAAAAGTTGAAGATGACTCATTCTTCGTTGTAATCAATGCAGGATGCAAGGATAAGGACCTTGAGTATATGAGGACTATTAAGGGGTCAGGTGATTGGAAAAATAAGGATATTAGCATTAATTATAATGAGGATAATAGTTTGATTGCAGTTCAAGGACCAAATGCCCAGAAGCTGTTAGACTAAATTATTGGAACCGATCTATCTTCAATGGATTTCATGACTTCTTAAGAGTTAAAATATAAGGATAAGATAATTAGAGTTTCTAGGTGTGGATATACTGGAGAAGATGGTTTTGAAGTCTCTGTCCCTGAGAGTCTTATTCTAACCTTTGCAGAGGAACTCGGACATGCTAAAAATAATGAGGGAAACAAGGTTGCCACCTGGGTTGGTTTAGGAGCAAGAGATACACTCAGACTTGAGGCTGGTCTTTGTCTCTATGGACATGAACTTAATGAAGATATTTCGCCAATCGAGGCAGTTTTAGGATGGACTATTTCCAAGAGAAGAAAGGAATAAGGTGGATTTTTGGGTTATGAAACAGTCAAGAAACATTTAGAACAAGGAGTCAAATAAAAGAGATCAGGATTTATGGTAGAAGGCCCACCTGCTAGAGAAGGTGCAAAAATTCAAACCAAGGACGGTGTCTAAGTAGGTCATGTAACTAGTGGAGCTCCATCCCCATCATTAAAAAAGAATGTTGGTCAAGCTTATATCAATGTTCCTCACAATAAACTTGAAACTCAGCTAGAGGTTGTTATTAGAGAAAAGCCATATCCTCTAACTGTTAAGAAAATGCCTTTTGTTCCCAGCAGATATTATAAAAAGCCATGAATAGTATAAAATCATCTTGACAGAGAGTGAGATGTTACTGGTTCTCATCGAAGATGAATTAATTTAAATTACTTTAACTTTTAAATATCAGATTAGATTGTTAATTTTTATCATTAAATTTATTTAATTCTAAGGTTTGATAATCATAATGATAAGTTGGTTAAAGATTAAAAGAAGAGACTAATTTCATTAATTGGCTAAAAGTCTCAAAGTAATTTACAAAGAATGTTAATTGTTTGCTCAGTTTCAAATATGATTAGTATTTTGGTCATCATGCTCCTCATTCTAAAGTGCTGTCATATCTGAGGAGTAGAATCTGCATTCTCTCTATTCAAAATAATCTTTATTAATGTTTTAAAGGTCCTAAAGCAATTTAAAATTAGTTGGACTTGGCTGAATCATAATTCTTAAGAAACTATCATTTAGGTTAGCAGCAATGTTAATCATTGTATCTTATTTTGAAGGTAATTTGCAGACTCTATCTGAATTGGCAGCTTCAAGATCAACTTATGGAATTTCATTTACTCTCAGTTTTACTTCATCATCATGATGATCAGTTTCGTGTAGTACATTGTTTGGATTCTACTCCTAGTCATTTTTAGGATTTTAGTTATGGGTGCTCAGAATATCTGTAGCCCTGCAAAGAGGACACATTGTTTTCTCCATTAACCAGGAAAAAAGACATTTGAAATGATAAAACTAGTGTTGGTTTGTGCCACATCCCATCTTTACCACATCGTATCCATGTTAAATCTTATTATTTTATCCATTGTTATTTATAAATTCCAAACATATGACGCAGTGTTCATTATTCATGGAAGGATCTGATGTGATCTAGGCCTGAGTATAATGAGGCAGCTGATTCAATAGTTATCTAATTTCCTGTTCAGTGCTTTAAGAATATACTTCCTCTGGTAGGAGAGAAAATCTTTATAACTATGGAAGTAAGTGGCTTTTCATATCATATTAAAGCTTTGAGATGAGTAGAATAACTATTCCTCTCATAATTATGTAGATAATACTGATATTCTTTTTCTTTTTAGCATCACTATTAAAAGAAAGATAATAAGAGAATATTATGTACCTTGCGAGTTCAGTTTCATCGAAATCAAGTGGCAATTTAATAATAATATAAGCTCCATAACCCAAAAGTAAAAAGTTCAATACCAATAGAATGGATGTGACAATAAACTTAAATCTTGCATATCGATATAATGCCTGTTTATAGAACAAAAATGAACCACAAACCATTGCAAGCATTATAAAATCTGAAAGAATATAGAAGGCTATCCAAATGGATAACTACTAGTAATAAGTGTTTGAAGATAAATGGCTCATTGCCACTGTCCCAATTAAAAAACCGCCGAATCCCATCTAAAAAGAATAGATTTTTAACAAAAATCAAATAATATTTAAATCTACCTGTAAGACTCTAATAGTCAGTATAAAAAGCATATCACAATAAAGATGATTCTTTATATTGTTGTACTGAGATCTTAGTTCTCTTCTTTCTGCTTGATTATTATTGTTATTTTATTCAGCATTCTGCTGGACTTATGGGGAAATTACTATTTACGAATCCATCCTTCAATATTATAAAATACTTTGAGTTAATAATTTCAGAGACTTATGAGTTTGATCTTATTAATATTATTCATTCTATCTAAGTCTTTTTAAATCATTAATCTCGGGGTTTTGGGGTTTTGGGGTTTTGGGGTTTTGGGG